GACAGGAATATTTGTATAAATGTTTAAAGTGTCCAGTTAATCTGGCAGGATTGTGACCAAGGCATGATATCGTGCCTGTGTGCTAATTATGAATGGTTTGTGCTGTGAGACAGTGTGATGGCTTCAGTGCTGCCTTTTTGTTATAAATACAGCGTCTTCTGGGCTGTTGTTTAAAGACTCCTGATTTAATAGTGGAGCTGAGTGAATAATTCAAAACCTTTCTATCAAGTTCTTGTTTAAAGTCTTAGATGAGCTCACCATAACCTTTTTATGTACGCCTCCTGCATGTGTCATACAAATATTAGAATAATTGAGTTTTACTAGTGCAAATGTTTCTGTGAAGCAAATTTTTAGAGCTTGATGTATGACTGTTTATGGAAAGGGGAATGTTAAAATCTCACACACCAGTTCCTATGCCAGAAACTTGTGCTGGCTCACTTAGGAAAAGGGTTGGGAGTGAGACCCTCAGCTTTATTGGAGCAATCCTAACTGAGCTGGTTTGTCAGATTGGCTTGTCTGCAGTTTAAAAACTGAACACATGTATTTAAAGGAATTTCAGCTATCTCTCTCTTACATTCTACATACAGTAGCAGTACTTAGTTTAAAATACTTGCTTTTTTCCAGATAAGTACTACTTTGACTCTTCTTCCTTTTCTCTTCCCTTTACACGAGATGAACCAGCACATTCAAAATGCATCTGCTTAACATCACTGAGTAGCCTCACAAAGGGATGGAGATGAGAGAAAATCCATAGTTACCTTCCAGGTTTCATCATTCCTTGGCTTGAAGTCCAGTCCAGGCTGGAGCAGAGCCTTGCAGATAGGTAATTTGAGTGGATTTAGCGTGCCTACTCGCATGTACTAATGTTTGCAGACTTGCTGGTGAAAGCTCATTAGTGTTAAGTCACTTCTGAGTACTGATGGTGTTTAAAAGGAAAATTAAAGCCTTGTAGAAGGCTTCTGCAGTCTGCAGAACTGGCATCCATTTGTCTTCTGCTTCTCAAGAAAAATGGAAGACTTAAAAATCTAAAGCCAGCTCAAGAAGCAGGAGTTGAGGATTAGGCAGGGAGTTGGGAGATGCTGTTTTCTCAGTTGAGAATTGTTGCTTAATTGGTTACAAGAATTTAGTCAAGACTGTTTATTCTGTTTGCAGACAAGCCTTCTCCTGTGCATGCTCTGGCAGTCCTCTAACCTTCCTGGCACCGCTAAGCCTGCGCTTGGAGATGAGATGGAAAATCCTTCCTCTTTCAGTGCGTCATGAATTTGCAAAGCCTGATTTGCATGTGCAGGGTTTGCTCTCTGAATGTTGGATTTCTTTGCTGATTTTCCTCTCTGAACTCTGTTGCAGCCAGCTTTAACAGCATAAATGTTGTTACCGCAGAGCTGCCCGGGAACGTGCTGAGCTCCAGCCAGCGGTAGTGCCACATGCCCCTCACAATGTGTTCAGAAATCTGGAATTGCAGCCTTGTGTGACAATGGGACTACTATTGAGATCTTCCATTGCCTTCAGTCACAGCTATTCCAAGTGTAACTACTGCCAGTACAGATGCTAGAAACTGGATGTCTGTATATTCCCAGGCCTAAGAGAAACATAGGGAGGTCTTTAGAAGTAGGAACGTGTAGGTTTTGGGATTATAGAAAAAAACCCAAACTGACTTCCAAACCCTGGCATCATCACAAGAGCCACTTTTGACTTTGCAGAAGGAGGGCAGTGAAATGTAAAGCCCAAGTAAACCTGTTCTTTTTTTGGCTTTCCTGAAATTGTAGTATGTGTAGAGTCATATTTTCACTGAACAAAATGAACTGTATCCAACGCTGTACCACTGGACCTGGGCCTCTGGTTGTGGTATTCTTGTAGCCTGTCAGCTTGGGTGGGAAGTGTTCAGACTTGGTCTGACTCCCTTGCATGGGCTGTAACATTGCTGCAGTTGGGTCTTTATTAAAGAAGAGACCAAGGAAAATCTCCTTCATGCCTCTTCCATTCCTTGTGATGCAGTATCGTCTCTAACTTGCCACTGTGAGCTCCTTGGACCTGAAAACAAGTGGCAAATTTTGGGTGGACTTTTGCTTGTTTTTGATTAAATATTGGAGTAACAAGAGTTGTATTGTGACACGAAAGACCCAACAATCTTACCAAACATGCAGAACAAGCAGGCTGTGTCTTGTCATCCCATTACGACATTCCCACTGTAGGAAACACCCTTTGTGCTTTGATAAATTTGTTCTTATTCATAGTGTGAAACTGTAAATTAACATGTAAAATTGCTTTTGTGCATTGGAGATTTTTAACAGTTCATTGTCCCTTCAGATTTGTGTTGCAAAGTGTGAAGATAGGGGAGCAGTATTACCTTATTTATCATAGGGGGAATCTGAGACTTGGCAGCTTTTTCTCAGGTACCCATTAAATGTGAGCATTTGCAGAGTTTGCTGTAGCTTATGATTGAAGTTGGTCATTACAACAGGCAAGATCCCACTGCAGCAAAATGTAGGGAGAGGGGTGCCAGCTGAGCTTTGCCTGAAGTGATGTCTGAAGAGATGCAGGCTGGGGTGAGAATAGAAAGAGGCTGTTGTCTTCTCTCTCCCTGATTCTTTGATCACTGAGAAGAAATTAAGTGACTGCTGAGCAAACTGATCTGTACAGTTCATGCTTAAGTTGTGTCTAGGATGTCTAAAATAGCCTGAAGGAGGAGGTGAACCAAAGTAAGTCCTGGATTTTGTTGTAACTGAATGCTTTTTGATTGCATATGAATATTCTGCAAGGCAAGAGTTAATTTGTCAGCCTTGTCTCCATTTACATAAGTACCATTGGTAGTAATAAGTACATAAGTACCTCCCTGTGGTGACCTGCGAACCATCTTTTTGGGTCATACTGTTCTAGATTTGGTTATTCCCTCTTACTGCCCAACAGAGATTTACACTCAATCCTTGTCCAATTCAAACTGGTGCCTTTAAGTTTTCCCACTCATAAAATAGTGTATTAAATATATATATATATACATATATAAAATTTTTGCTTGTATTTATCTCATTAGTGTTGTCAGAGGGGAAAGCAGTTAAAGACTGGATGTGTGTTTGGACTGGATGGATTAATTATGAGGTACAGCTGAGTTATTTTCTTTCTTTTAAAGCTGCTTGTGATTTTCTGCTGTGGATATTTTGATTCTTGTTTATTTTGCTCCTTCGTTTGGAGAATAGTCTGGAAGAGGGGAAGGAAGAGGCAGGCCCTGTAACCATCATTGTTAGCCCTAACTTCTGGTAGAGCTTTGCTGCTTTGGCTTGACCTCTTTAAACTCGAGAAATGTGTTTTTGTTTGCATTTCCATCTTGTTGCATTTAAAAACTATTCTAACTATACCAGATTGTTTGAACATTAATGGCGGAATGTATTTCAGGGACTCGATAGAGTTTCCAGGCAGCTTTTCATCCGCCAAGTACTGTACTGGGCTCTCACTGGTGAGGTTTTGCTTGGTTTGCTCTAAGAATCTGCAAAGTGATTGTTCAAAATTGCTGACACATGTTAAGTAATGTGGAAATCACCATCCTACCCCATTGAAGTCTGAGAGTGTTCATGTCGACAATAAGAACAAGATCTGACCCTAAAAACGATATGTGAACAGTCTCAATCTGGAGACCATTTCCAGTGTTCTCTCTCTGACTCTGGCTAGTTCATCCTTCAGTCTTAGATATTCTCTTTTTTACAAAATTATTTACTCAATCTCCTAAAAAATACCACATTCTGACTGGTTCGTGTATTTTTGAATTATTTAACCACGTGTGCACATTTGATGATGCCAAGTTCAGAGTAAAATCTCAATTCTGTAGTTGACTATCAGGAGAGTTAATGCTACTTCTTACAGTAATGGTATGCTTATTTAATAAGAAATCCATCGTCTTCTACCTCCCTTTTCCAATCGTCTAGTTTTCAGCTTTGGAGCAGCTGTAATCAGCCTCTACAACTTCCCTTCTTCCTCTCATGAATAAATCCAACTACCTTATCTTCTGTATCGGAAAAGTCTTCCCTGGCTTTAGCAGCCTCTGGAGGAGGGTATAAAAGGGGCTTTCACTGGCTAACAGGAAGCGAAATGAATGGAGCAACTTTTGATAATGCCCCGTCTGTCTGAGCGGGGGATCAGCCCGACTAAATTGCAGCAGATTAGTGAATGATAGTGCTTCAGCTGGGGCCAGAATTAAAAGTTTTTAATCTTGGAACAAGCAGTGATTTCTTCCTCCTAAACAGTGGTCAACTCCCTCTTTGATTTGGAGGCTTGCAGTCATCCATATTCAGTTAGTTTGGGTGTGTGGTTTCTTTTTATTTATTTATTTTTTTTCAGTCTGCATTCATGAGTCTCAACAAGCTTTTTGGTTTTTTGGTAGCAGTGATTTTGGTGAAATCTGTCATGCCATCTTTGCCAGTAACTTGTACTTCGCTTTGGATTTTTATGCCTATAATGAAATCTTGTATTTCCCATCTTTCTTAATATTGGTGTGTGTTGTTCTGCCTCAGTCTTTTGTGGTTAGCTTTGGGGTGGTTTGGGTATCTTTTTTAAAAGCAGCATTTTTGTTTCGGGCCACCTTCAGCCTTACTCTGTGTGTGAACATGTGTGACTCCTTGATTTTCACCCCACAACTTGGTCCAAAGTTTTTGATAATCCAGCTCAGTGGGAGGGACAGATGACTGAAAATCTAAATGGGGCAGTTTAGCTAATTGCCTTAGGCCTGACTCGTCTGCTGGATAACACCAGTTTTATTGCAGCCCAACATGATTGACATTTGGGGAATTGCACTGGTATAATGCTGGCAGCAGCAGTGAAAAATCTGCCCTATTGTTTCTGATACATTCCCTGTCTGAGGAGGACCCTTTTGTTACAAGTAACTATCAGAAAGGCAACTAATGGAGTGAATTTTTGTTTTCTTTAGATCACTGACTCTTCCAATTACCAAGGAAAAGATATGAGTGATATCCTATGTACTGAAACTTCTTCATGTTCTATGTTTTTTTCAGGCTTTTTCTCTTGGATTTTATTACTGGAAAACTCCCTAATGACAACTTTGCTTAGGTAAGTGAAGCAAGATTTTTTTCCTGTGGATTTTTTTAGAATCACTTCCCCTGTCTTAACTTCTTTTGCATGTTGGGTTGTAATGTGGAGCTGCCAGCCAGCTGTGCTGCTTGTGCTGTGGTTAAAGGCTAGAAAGATGTTGTAAACAAAACTAGGGGTAATGCCTCTAGTATGACATAAGGACCTCATTTATTCATATAATCAAATGAAGTGGACGTGGTGCAGAATAATGAGATGCAGGTTATATCTGCATTTTACTGCATAATCTCATCAATTTATCAATTTTTTTTCAAGAGATGGTCTGCATTTTTTTTCCCCACTGGAAAGTAAACTTGTTGTTATCACTTAATGTCATTTTATTATGAAATGAAACCTTCATGCTTCCAGGGTTTTAGATAGAGTTGCTTTTCCTTTTAGATAGAGTTCCCTTTCTCTTCCCTCTTTCCCTCAGGCGGGAGCTTCTGATGTGGAGAAATCATAAAAAGCTTGAGAGTTTTATATTTTTTTAGCCCAAAACATGAGATAACATGAGCATATTTAACACCCCCTCTTTGATCTTCTGAACCCCATCTACACCTCTAAAATGCAGATTCCACATAATTGATGATTGATGGGATTTCTGGGTGTTGATTGAAAGCACTTGGTCTTGTCTATTTCTGAATATCTTTGTGACATTCTGAGCACAAATCCAATGCTGTCGTGCCATGGATGATGGGTGGAAGAACTGAATGTGCTGCTGTACCAAAATGTACTGTTTTCCTTTGTGGTGGAGAAAAGACTTGACTGACCTCTGATGCAAGACAAGAAGTTAATCCCTTCATATACAGCTAATTTGATGTGTTAGTTGGGGTTGCTTGTTGATCTGGATGAGGCCAAAAGCAACTGCAGTGTTCATGTGGGAATATAATATCCTAACATCTACCCTGACAAAAGTGCTGTTACTCCTCAGAAAGCATCTGGGAAAGGCTTTTCTTTTTTGTCCTGTCTCTGCTTTCTGCAGTTCCCACCCTCTCTTCCTTTCAATCTCCTTCCAGTGAATGGTCAGCATAGCAGCTTCTCTCCTTGAGGTGAGATACCTTGGTGAAATAAAATTGTCTTAAACCAGAACTCTCCAATCTGCTTTTCCCCTGGTATTTGTCCCTCCTTAGAGAGGACTTTAGGGGAGTGAAGACAGACAACTGCAGAGAGGTTTTGAGTTCCCTTTTAGGGAGCCTATCAGAGTTTATCTATGTGTCATTCCTTTGTCGGGGTGCTGAACTCAGGGTTTGTGTGGCATGGCATTTGTCTTTTCCTGAAAACACACAGGAGCTGGCTCATGGACTCCAAACTGGGAGTGAGCCAACAAAGGTGGAAAAGTCCTTAGCAGAACCCTCTGAGAGCACTGCATTGCTCCTGAGACATGCTATTGCAGTGTGCTTGTGGTTCCCCCATGTCTCCCTCTACTGCTTGAGCAGTGACTAATATGCAACCTGAGGCTCTATTTATTGATGCCACTGCCTGTCCAGAGGATGGAAAGGACTCTGCAAATGAGGGGAGTATTTAGGCATCAGTTCTAACTTTGTATATTAGACATATCTATGAATATATGCAGAACAAGCTAATAAATTACCAGGGAATGGTAGTTAAGAGGAAAGGACATAATTAATTCTGTCATGTACTCTGTTTTAAAGTTGAGTCCAGAGCAGTAATGTATTAGGCTGGGAAGGTAAACACTGTCATTATTCACCAACAAAACATGTACAATGCTGACATTGTTTTCCTCCTTTTGATATAATAATTTTTTTGCAGTGGTTGGAGTATCTTCAGTGGTCTTTGTTTGGTGTGGTAGGAGCCTGATGAAGCCCTTCCCTTTCCGAAGGGTCAGTGCTCCTTTATTTGAATTGAGTTTTGTATTAATGCTGCTTTGCTGACACAGAACATGTGCTGTTCCAGAAGGCTCTTAGTGTTTGCTGTGGTTGGGGTGCTTGGCTGGAATTCCTGCAATATAGTTTGGAGGGAGGTATTTCTGTTTCATCAGGTGATCCCTTTTCAACTCCCCACACTGCAGTGTTAACCCAGGTCAACTGTACATGTCACATAAAAAAGAATCCTTTTTGTGCAGATGCTGTTAAGAAGCCAGCATGATCTTACCTTGTATATAGATATTTTTTTTAATTTTTTTTTCTCTTCCAACTCCACCAGCGTGCAGAGAGAAGGTTTGACTTCAGTAAATGCAACTTTACGTGGTCCTTCAAGGTTAACACGTTTGGGTCTATTTTAGTGGGGAGAGGGATTTGGGGGAGGTTTCGCTTTGCATCTTAAAGCATCTAAAGTTGATGTGAAAATGATGATAAAAGGAATAGTTGTCATGGTAAAAAGTTACCTAAAGCAAGGTAGTTAATTTACAGCATATATGATAAATAATAATAACAAGAAAAGCTAAAATGACTGTAGTTTGAAGTTCCTTTCTCTTGCTGTTGCTCACAGCACAGCCTCTCTCCTTTCCTTTGTACCTCTCACTTTAGCAAATTTCTTGTTACACACACAGAAAGACAAGCAAAAACTTAATATATATGTATTTCTACCTTGACTTTTCTCCACACAACCCACCCTGGATATCAGATCACTTGAGTTCACGTAAGTGAGGATGCATGTATCCAAAGTGGGTTGGTGTTGTTCAACCCCTCCTTGCCTCTTCCTGATGAGTTTTCTTACAAGTTTTGCAGCTCTGGCTCTTCCAGCAGAAATCTTGGGCAAAAAACGCTCATGGAAACACCCGTGGAATAGCTAAATATAAGTGGTGGAAGGATGCCTGCTTCTCTTAGCAGTATTTTCTTTGGAAGATGAGGATCTCCTCAACATGTCCTTGGCTTTCTGTGTCTCCCTAGGAAGCTGTAGCACTGCATACTCCTTCTTCCAGTGTTCCCAGCTCAGTTTAAAAGTTCTTGATCCAGAGTATTTCTGTGGTCCTTCAAGGTCTGCTCTGTCAGACTGCAAAACTCCCAGGAATTTGGAGGGGGAATCCTCTCTTTGGATGAATTGAAAAGAAGTTATATGTTGTCAACTTGCATAAGGTCTTTCTTCAAAGAATGAAGTTTATTTTAGGGCGAGTGAGCTCTTAAAAAATTACTAGCCCGTGGTGGGTGGCATGAGCAGCATTGGCTGGAGGGGCAATTGTTCTGTGGTTCATGTGCTGTTTATTTTGCAGCCAGCGATGTTTTTATATTGCTGAGGCAGATGGAGGGATTCCCAGCTCCACAAGCATGACCCTGGGGGAGATTAGCTGGTTTTAGGTTTCACCACTTGGATGATGAGGTTACCCTGAGACAGAGATGCATCCCTGGGTATGGAAATGGTCTTGGCCCAGATCTTGTCTGGAGATGTAAAGCCTGAGAAAGGACCAAGAGGTCAGCTTCAGCTTTTTAAGGAATGTGATGTATGGTCATTCTATGGCATGTGTGCACTGCTGCTTTTTTTATTTAAAAAAGGATAAAAACATTATTGCAAGCTTATGTGGTTTTTTTTAAACAATCTAATTTGAGCTACAATTAGCTCTAAAGTAAAACCTACTTTACAGCTACATAAATATTTTTATCTCTGATACCGAAGCACTAATGATAAAGAATCTTAAGAAGTTTTTTCATAGCTACAAAGCAAGGAACATTTCTCCCATTCTCTTAGCGCCTTTCTTAGACTTCACCTGCTTCTCTCCTACTGAGCTAAGCAACTTCCTCAATCTGCGCACACTGGGACTTGATTTTTTTGCATCTGTAGCAGTCTTAAGTAATTACTGTGCAGTTCTAATACTTGTTACAGAAGTGAGCTCCTCTGCTTGTGTCAGTCAATGGCATCTAGAAAACTGAAACTCTGAAACAAGCTAAAATGAGGAGAATCTTGTTTCCTTTTTGCTCACATGGGCTCTTACTCACTTCCCCATCTGCTTTGACTTTGAAGACTGCTGAGGTTCTTCCTCTGTCTGACCCACTTGGCATAAGCTAGAGAGGATTGTCTTTCTTCAGTAGCCAAGTTTATAGGGCTTCAGCTTGTTCGTAAATAATCCTTAAAGTTTTGAGTGCTGCCTTTTTCCTTCTTTCCCCTTCAAAACGGACTTGCTGTTGTTTGTGTACAAACTGGAGGATTATTTTTTTCAGTCTATAGACAGAGGAGAAAATTTGTGCAGTCACTGTACATGAGAGGTTGTAAAGTGTGCTGGGGAGATTTTACTAAGGGTCTGTGATTTTAAGTATTTGTCCCATCCACTTTCAATTTGTGATCCGAGCACAGAAGAGCATCAGCTGTAGAGGAGGGCTTTGCTCTGCTAGTTGTTGTACAAGCACAGCTCCAGAGTACAAAATACAGGACTTGGATATGCAGGGGCATCTTTATAGGAACGTCTAAATACTTACTGTACTTCAGAGAAGGACAAGGTGTTGCTCTGCCTTTGCTTTCACACTTAAGTACCTGCACCACTAATTGGTTTGCATGTGTGAATGGTTATTTTAAGGTAGCATTAAAACTGACTTTCAGGTTTAGTGAGGCTCTGCAGACCAGCTTCTGCTGATTGGAACTCTGGCCTCTTGATAGCAGGAGATAGCAACCCTCTGTGGAAAAATAGGCTTTCCTAAGAAAGAAAGTCCTGCTTTGAACATGTGGGATTCTAAGTATTTCCTATGAGATGTATTACTAGTATAAACAAACTGTTTTGTTTAGCATAAGCTCTTCATCCTGATAGGATTGGAGATATCTTATAAAACAATCACTGTAAATTTAAAACTAATATTTGGCATTATTTAAATAAACATAAATCAAGATAGTATACAAACAACACAAGTTCCCAGACCAGGGACCTGAAAGACAGACCAACTTGGATATAGCCTGTGTGCTTTTTATCCATTTCTCTATTAAATTTAAAACATTATGCACCTAATTAATTTTTAAACTTATATCAGTGATAAAATGGATAACTATTGCAATAGACATAGGTTTTAGTGCTACAATTACAGAACAGATATAAAAGCATG